AGCTCCAGTGAAGTTAGATTTTAATCCATCTGTGTAGCAATCGACTGATCCTGTTGGGATTAGGTCAATTAGAGATTCTATCTCATTCCTTTTTGGTATATAAGTTGAGACTAGTTTATCTGGAACTATTGTTTTAGTAATTGCATCTTTGGGCATATAGATTATACGAATCTCATTGCCCAAGTCAGGCATATGTCAATGTGGCTTTTATGACCGAAACCTGCCCTTTGGCACCATGTGCCATTTTTATTCAACGTATACATGGCTTTAATTACTTCTTCACTCAAGAACAGTTTCAAGAAAGGAATTTGCAATAAAAATTCTAATGCGGCAGTAGGGGTACTGTTTAAAGCCCTACTAAGGCAAGCAAGTCTTTGCACCTTCTATAAAATGTTTACATATGTGCTTTTGTTAATAACGTTGATCCAGACCACGCATTCGTAAAAAAGCATTGGCCGGATTTTGACAGTATAAATCCATAAAGTAGATTTTGGGTTAAGGTACCATTGTTTGCCAACGATTCGCCTGCAAAGTATTAATACATTTGTGGCGGTTTGTGCCTTTTCATTTATATGGGTGAGCCATGCAAGTTTACTGTCCAGGTACATCCTAGGTATTTAATGCATTTCTTACATCTGATAATCTGGTTACCCAGATACAAATCTGCCAGTTTCCATTTCCTGTTCTACGTGAAAACTATGACCTCTGATTTTTCAGCAGAGAAAGGCCACTTGTTTCACTCCAATGTGATACTTTATTCCAGATTTATTGAGCTTGATTGTGTAGGGTTCCAATATCGAAACTCCGTAGTAACACAATAAGGTCATCTGCATAAGCATGGACTGGCCAGGCTCTTCCCGTAAAAGTACTAAGAGTGAGTTGAATACCAGGTTGCACAGGAACGAAGAAAGAATATCTCCCCATGGACACTCTTTAGTAATATCTCTCTTTACTTCTCAGTCAGTGAGACTAACGCAGATATTCCTGTTTTTAATCATAAAAATGACACATCTAGTTATCGTAGGGTAAATATGACTTCCAATGAGAGCTTTATGTATTTCCTCAAAGCCGATGTTATCAAAGTCTCCTACAATATCCAGTACAATCCCAGTGGCAAAGTGTCTGTCTTTATGATTATTTTTTCTATTCTCTACACCAGTTGGTGTAGGACCGACTCAGTGGAGAAGCCAGGCCTAAAACCGTGTTGGTCTAAGCCAAAAGTATGTTTCAGATTGTTATCTGACTGGAGGTGCCAGAAAATCAATCGCTCCAACATCTTAAGCTGGAAGGATGTTAGCATGATCATTCTCAATGAGTTTGGTTTCTCATATATATCTTTCCCTGGTTTGGGGAGAAACATACCTCGTGAAGTTCTCCATACCTTAGGAACATATCCTAAAACCAAGCTGGATTCGAATATGTCCACAAGAATGTGGCCAAAAATGTCTCAGCCTTTCTGGAGCACAATTGGGTAAGTGCCATCATTCCCTGGAGATTTAAAGGGAAGAAATACATCTACGGCCGCTTTAGCCTTTTTGAAGTTGACTATTGTTTTAGCAAAATCCGAATCTAATGGACTATGAAGGAGTTCCAATAAGTTTTCATGGGGGTCAGAGATGACACTTGCATCCCCCAGGTGAAAATTCAGCATGATCGATAGTGTATCCAGACGGTTTATAGTATAACTGCCATCTGGTCGCATAACCGATGAGAGTTGAGATTTCTTGAATATCTGTGCAGAAGGATCTCCATGAGTTGGATTTTGTTTTCCTGATTTCCTTTTTAAATTTCCTTTGTAGGATTTTAAAGTTAGACCAGTTAACTTCAGATTTATTTCTGGCTGCTTTCCTGTGAGCTCTCCGAACCTCTAAATGGAGGCTTTCAAGCTCATTGGTCCACCAGACTCTCTTGCTAGAAGAGTACTTGATGCATGATAGGATTCAATAATGATATTTGTCAGGTTGTTTGCATGGATATCAAGCTCCTTGACGGAACAATTATTGTCTAAAGCCTGAAGGTTAATGACATTAGAAACCAGGAAGTCCTTATAAAGGTCCCAATTTGTGTGTTTAATGTTTCTGAAAAATTCAGCTGGAATTTCATCCCTAATATGAAATTGTATAAGGCGATGGTCTGAAAGTGATGGATTGTTACTTACATGCCAATTCTCAATAAGATGAGAGATATCAGATGAAGTTAGTATGAGGTCAATGATCTCTTCTCTTCTTCTATTGATAAAGATTTCCCCTGTGTACCCAAGTTAGGTTGGTGTTCATTATGAGTTCCATTAGTTTTCCTACTCTAGAATTGGTATCAGAACTGCACCGTAATAGGTGGTGAGTGTTAACATCACCACCAATAATCATCATAGGAATATTGTTGATTACTGATTGCGGAATGGTGAGGTCATAAGCCATGTAAACCGAGCAAAAACAAATGTTTCCTCTTAGTGAACTGTTTACGTACTTGGTTAAAATAGCAGTCACATCCTCCGATGTGAATTGAGATAATTTCATAGCCTTTATATTTTTTAGAAATGTAATGCTAGTTCTAGGTCTTTTATTAGGTCCTTCTGACGAAAAGAGGCCCACCAGCGGCCGAGCAGTAACGTCGCTAAACACTGGTAGTTCGTCCGAAATTCAAATACCGCGAACAGGCTGGCTGCATGGGTATTTTCCCCATGTGTAACGTGTATACAAGCCAGTTTCCCTTAAAAAGTCCTCCATGAAGGCATCGGCCTACCAAGGATTTTACCCTTGGTAGAACCTTGGGATTCAAAGAACTTTGGGACAAAAAAACAAATCTTTTAAGAATTGAAAAAGAAACAAACCTTGAAGTTTCAAAAACCTTTCAAGAACCTTGGGTCTACAACAAAGACCCAAGGTTCTTGAGTTAAGGCAACAAAAGTGCCTTGTTTACCTAATTGAGCTGTTAAATTGTATGAAGCTGCTCTGCTATGTTGCAGGTTTAGTTGACTAACCTTAATCATTAAGACAGGTTAAATGAGAGTTAAGAATTTACCCTGAAGGATTTTAGGAGAGACTTAGTTAAAAGCCGCTTCCTTAACCCACAACTTCCCTTGAAGTCGTGACAGGGAAAACCTATTCAGAGGTCTTCCCCCGAGCCTCCAAAGAAGGCTCTGGTTCTGACTCTTTTTCGGTCTCCCCTTCTTCCATTAGCTGGTTCCTCGGAAGATCCTTGGGTGGAGGAATTGACTTCTCCTGTTGCCTCGGCTCCTTAAGCTGTACAGAGCTGTGGGCACCACAGAACAGCTTGAAGTTCTGGGTCTCCAGGTAATCTATGAGCTCAGAATGCACTCCCAGCAACAGAGTTTTACCTTCGTCTAACAGGGATGACTGTCTTGATAACAATCTTTTTAACATCCAGGTCCTTGTTGCAGTCTTCAAGGAGCTTGACGTTATCTTTTGGTGACCTGTTACCAGTAAACCAAGCGAAAAACTTCTTTAGGGCTCTGTCTTGGGAGCCATGGTGTGAAGCTGGTATGGTTTTCTTCAGGGTCAGGCAGATCATTGATTAGGATCATTGATCTTTAGGACGTCCACTGTCTCTTGGTCCTCACATGCAATGTTGAATCGATTCGGATGCAGGACTGTCTTGTGTACCTTACAGGTGATGATGGAACCGTTGATAATTCGGTCGCCAATAACAGAAGTGATGAAGTCAGCATCTGCCGACGTTATGTCTCTGGAGTCATTCTTGCAGACAACCCACAGAGTGATTGCCTTCCTCACAGCTTGACTATAAAGCCGTCCTTATTTAGGGTCATTCCCGGGGTGTCACCAATGTGTCCTCTGTTACAAGAGTCTTCATTGCTTGGAATACTATCTTTCACCAGTTTGGAGGTGACTCCAGAGGTCCCAGCTTTAGCTGTTTTCTCCCTCGCTCCCTTCTCCCTGGTAAATGAGATCCCTTCCAAGCCCCTCTCCAGCCGTTGCCGCTCTTTCTGGCGCTGTCTCTTCTCTCTTCTTTTCATTGGTGACTGGTCATCCGCTAGTGCATCTGATGCAGCACTTCTGACAGAGGAGTCAGAATCTATCCCCATCGGGTTCAAGGCGTCCACGTCCAGACGCACATTCATCCCTTTACCAGCGGTTCTGGTTTCTGTAGTCCTAAACAGAAGAGCGTCTGCACCCAAAGGCGCATTCACTCTCTCAGAAGGAGCTACAGTGGTTAAAGTGGGGGTTTTAGAGGATGCGTTTTTATCTGATTCTGGTTTTTTTTTTTTTTTTTTTTTTTTTTTTTACATCCATCTTGGTAGTTGATTGAAGAAAGGGGGAGAAAAATTCCTTCCGATTTTCTAAAAGCCAGTTTGGTGGGGCTAGCCCCAGATTCAGTAGCCAGCAGTGACCTCGGAAGAGCCCCCCACTCTGCCATGCAGCACCCTAGCCAAGCACCACCTAGAACTAAAACGCAGGCGAGATTATACACCAGCTGATAGAGCAGCCAGAACATGCTAGTTAGGCTGCCCCAGGCTCCTGTACCATCTGACAGCCTGAGACGCAAAACTCATTTTTCTCCTGTATCCTCTACATGGCTGCTTCCTCCAAGACCCCTCCTCTTCAGACTAAAGGTCCTCGGAATTTCAGATCCTTCCCCCTGAGTGCCGGCTTTCCCAGGAAGGAGCGGTCAGTTAGGTTGTCATAAGATTATTCATCATCAGACCGAACCTCATCCTGCTAAACCCCGGTATGTCACAGGACTTTGTGGCAGTTACCAATTTAGCACCACCCAGGGGGCACGTGTGACTTAAGGATGATCACGGACGTGGGCAACATTATCCCCCATCAAAATCATTTAAATGATATTGCTATTATTTAAATTTACTTTTCAAATATAATTAGAAAACAAGTATGAATTATTGTTTTCATTATATATTATTCTGTCGTGAAATTCAATAATAGAATAATAATTATTTACTAATAAAATAATAATGATATATGTGCATTGATTTGTAATTTGATGTCTTTTTTTCTCCCCAGTACAGGTATCTTGTTCGGTTTATATTTTGTCATGGAAGACTTGGTTGTATTTACTGCTGAAACGTACATTCGAATTGATGAAGATTCAGAAAATCGGGCTTTTAACAAAAAAAGCAATGATACTTTCTTTTGTGATATTTGTTCCAAATCATTTAAATCAGCATTTAATTTAAAGAAGCATAATTTAATACATTCTGGTGAGCGTCCACACACATGTGATATTTGTCAGAAAAGATTTACTGCATCAAGTGATCTTAAATCCCATCGATTAATTCATACTGGTGGCCATCCTTATGTGTGCACAAATTGTAATAAGGGATTTCCATCTCCAAGTAAGCTTCGCCGCCATCATTTGACTCATACTGGTGAACGTCCGTATTCATGTGATGTTTGTTCAAAAGGTTTCAGAACTAGCAGTGATCTTCAGCGACACAGATTAACTCACAAAAGTGATTATTCCTATGTATGTCAGTTTTGTAATAAGGGCTTTGATTCGTCTATTGATGTAGAGATGCATCGATTAACACATTCTGGGGAAAGCCCATATGAATGCAAAGTTTGTCAAAAAACTTTTTCTTCTTCTAATGGTCTTCAGTGTCATAGTATTATTCATTCTCTTGAAAGGCCACATACTTGTGATACATGTGGTAAGTCTTTTAAATCTCTGTGTAATTTAAAAAAGCATATGCTTATTCATACTGGAGTTCGTCCACATGTGTGTGATATCTGCGGAAAAGGATTCACTTCATCTAGTGATCTTAATACTCACAAATTAAAACACACTGGTGAATATCCTTATATATGTAATATCTGCAGTAAAGGTTTCACGTCACCTAGTAAGTTACAGCGGCATATACTTACACATACTGGGGAGAGACCTCACATTTGCATGCTGTGTAAAAAGGGATTTCGTACTACAAGTGATCTTCAGCGTCATAGTTTGACTCACGAGGGTAAAGATTTTGTCTGTCATTACTGTAACAAAGGTTTTACATCCTCAGCTAATCTAGAACTTCATTGCCTTTCACATTTGGGTGAGCGACCTTATATTTGTAATATTTGCAACAAAGCATTTGCATCGCCAAATAATTTAAAAAGTCATAGTTTAACACATTCAAGTGACAGACCTTACATATGTGAAATATGTGGAAAAGGTTTCAAATCATTTTACAATTTGAAAAAGCACTGCATTATTCATACTGGTTACAAACCTCATATGTGTGAATTCTGCAAAAAACGCTTTACATCAAGTAGTGATCTTAAATCACACAAGCTTCTGCATACAGGAGGTCATCCTCATGTGTGTGTCATGTGTAATAAAGGCTTTTCTTCTCCTAGTAAATTGCAGAGGCATCTGTTGACACATACTGGATATCGCCCTGCTGCCTGTGATTTCTGTGATAAAAGGTTTAGAAATAAAAGTGATCTCCAACGCCACCTTCAAATACATAAAAAAATTAAACCATCCTATAAATGTCAGTATTGCCAAAATGAATTTAGACGTGCCTTAGACTTCAAAACCCATTTTCTCACACATACTTCAGAAAGGCCTCATATTTGTCATGTTTGCAATAAAAGTTACACAACAGAAACAAGATTGAAAAATCATATACGAATGCACAACAATCCACGACCTTATGTTTGTGATATTTGTGGTAAGCGTTTCAGTCTCACTAGGTTACTTAAAGCGCATATGAAGACCCATAAAAATCAGTCAGATACATATGTTAAACAAGATAAAGAAATTTGTGATTTGCCATTAGAAAGCAATGTTGAAGTTGAACTGCATGAAGATGAGGCTTTTGAGCTAACGAATTTGGACAGAAATTCCGATTATACTGAAATTGTTCCTAATAATGCAACTGTGTCGTGAAAATTTCAATTTTGTGAAAAGTATTTATTTATTTATTCATTAATGAATGCTGGAATCTTAATTAAATATCTTTTGTAATAGAAAAGTTTTAAAATTATGTCATTTGTAATTGGTCATTTTTTAATGAAATCTGTTTTTCAGTATTGTTATGTTATTGCTTTTTCTTTCGTACAGCAATTAATGTATAAAAATTTAAGGAAAATGCACTTTTTTGTGATGTGTAGATGACACAGATTCCCCCTTTTTCTTTTGCAAATAATAAAATAAGCATTATTATAAAAAAAATTTTATTTTATTTTGTATTTGTTATGTGCTTTCCAACATAAAATACCCAAGTAGCACACAACATTGCAAACTGGTCCAAAAGGTCGCAAAGTGGTGGTGGTGGTGGTAACTTTTACGATGTTGCGAAGACTCAAAATATTTGCCGTTGCATCTAGGCAATTTGTTGACATTATTGAAATGCCATGTTATGACTGCTTTTATACTTAGTCGTTTTAGCATCTTTTTCATAGTTCATCAACGTTACTTTTAGAATGAAAAGAGACTAAATATGCTCTTTCAAGAATCTGAAGTCCGCATAAGATTTATTTTGCAATGTTTCATTACTTTATTTCATCTAAATGTATTAATCTAAGGTAGATTCATCAAATGAAGTATAAATTTTATATAAATACTTGAATTATTAAATTTAATTAGTACTAAAAGTACGTACTAAATTATTGTTTAAAAATTTTGAAAAATAATTAATACTAAAATATTTTTTATAAATATTATAGCAAATATTTAAAATGAAACTAACTATGAAGTAAGTTGCATTTTATGTTCTATAATAGTTAGGCATTTTATATATTTAAAAAAATAATATTTCCGAAAGCAATACAACTTACATGTTAGCAATTATTTCACTGCTAAAATATGACTTAATTTATTATTTTTGAAGTAAGGACGAATTTATTTGAATTAATATGCTGACATAATATGAAACATTTTACTGCATACAGAGCAAAAAGTACAATTTTTGCGAAGATGTATACACAGATAAAAAATGGGCGATTTTAAGAATTCAAAGAAAATGTCCAATATTAAAAGACTTTGCATATCCATGCATATTTAATGGCTGTCCAAAATATCTGACGGAAAATTACTGGAAAAAAAGAAAGAATATTAACAGTTTTAATGAAATGACAAAATTAATGGCTTTGATGAATTACTATAAAGTTACCTCAAATAGAGAAACTGTGAACAAAATACAAAATTCATTTACCTATAAAAAATTCTGATGAACTGTTGTTTTGTTTTTTACATTTTTCCCGTGCTTCCAAAATGCTTGGTTTTAATCCTAGTATATGGTAACCACTTGGGATTTGGCAACATGGCATTCAAGTGTTTAGCGAGCCCCATAAATTTTTTTTTTAAATTTCGTATTTGTGAACATTGTTCGTATTCTATTAGTGAAAATTTTCTAGGCCATTTAAAAAAGATTCTATTAAATTATCAGAAGAACCATTGCAAGGTTTAATTCAATTGAATAAATCACTGAAGCGTTGCACTGAATTGCTGTTCGACATTCCATGTATATTGTTTACTGGATGTTTATATATAAATGAACGTCTGAGCTCGAGGCTTGCGTGCTTTGGCTAGCTGCCAAATTCAAACAAGTTCGTAACTGCGCAATAATTTGACTCCATCTAATTTTCAGGAATGTTTTCTTCACGCTTTTGTAATTCACCGTCGGAATTAAATACTGGAGAGATTCAATACAAAAATATAACGATGGCAGTTTATTTTGAATTGAAAAGAAATTTTCTTGGTAATGCCGAATTTCTGCTTATTTTGTTTGTGAATATTTGCTTGGTATGGGCTAAAATCGTCCATATAGTTAAATAGTGTTCTGTTTTGGTGTTTTATGACTTTCCGGTGATTAAAATTATATTGTGATTTTCCAATCTTCAGTGGCTCCAGCGGTGAAATGTTTGGATACATGGATTCTGTTATAACGTCGTGCAATATTTGGATGCACGAATTATTGTTATATTTGGATACACGGATTCGGTTATAACGTCCTAAGTGCTATATCGTATATCATTCATATTAATCGATTATTGTGTTCATGATACTGGTTGGTGTTCAGACTTTGCATGTATGATCGAAAAAATAGTGTTAAGGAAACATTAGCGTTACTATGAAATATTGTAATCTATAATTATGGCATACTTAATTGTGTAATATTGAAAAACACTAAATATTTTTTTTATTCATTGCAAATTGCAGTTTTAGTACTTATCGTTTGGTATCTATTCTTCCAAACACTGTGTAATTCGTGTTTTTTTAAATATTGCCATTATATATGTCTATTAGATTATCTGAATAAATGAATGTTGGAAATTAGGTTTTGTTCTTTATTAAAGTATATTCATTATACTTAAGTATTTTAAGTAAGTCATTTAAGTATAGTATATTCATAATTTAAGCATATTGTTCGCTTACATTTTATGTGTTTGTGATAGCAAAGAAATTCATAATAAATAGAAACAAAAAATTTCATCGTGTGCTATTAAACGAAGAGCTTACTTTACTTAGCTTACTATCATATACTCATACCTGCCAACTTTTACGAATTTTTCGTAATTTTTACGAAAAATACGTTCTTTACGATTTTACGATCGTATCCATTTGTTTACGATTTTTCCTTTTTCAAGTGTTTTTTGTGATTTTGTCAAATTTAGAATTTTTCATCATTCAGAGCGATTTTTGCCATTGCATCGTGTTTTACCGCCAACTACCGACTACTTTGAATCCAGTAACCGCGGTTTCTCCCCAACTCGCCGCCTTAACCCCAATCCAAGCGCTGAACTTGTTTCTCCACTCTTTTCTTTGTGGGCGCCAGATTATTTTTTTCGCGTTTGCTTCACCAGCAAGGCAATTACTGAGCTCGGACTCAGCGAGCATGGTTTTTTTTTTTTTTTTTTTGTCGAATTCTGTTTGCTACGAATTTTCTTAATACCTCGTTGTTACAAAATAAAAAAAAACTGTTCAATTTTCGGCCTGCCTAAAAACCAACAATTAAAGTAAAGGAAATTCTTAATATTTTGTTATGAAGTCAGCCTTGCAACGTGTGCGTGTGTGACTTCATAATAAGTCACGGTGGAAGAAGTGCCATTGTGAAGCATGTTAAGTCTAACTTCGACAACGTCTAACTAAGCATCGACAATGTCAAAGAAAGTGGATGATATTTTTCGAATTGGATGCCGATGTCATTTTGGCAGAGTGTTTGTTTACTGCATTCCTCATCGAACAACGTGCCGCTAAGCGCTGCGATCACGCCTAGTTTTATGTTATCATTAAGTTCTGTTTAGTTTCCTATAAATTTTTTTGTTGCTACTTAATTGAGATTTACAATGTAAGTACAATTTCTTTTTCTATTTGTATAAATTATTTTTTTAATATCAAAGCATGATATTAATTCTTCGTGTTTTTGAATTATGGAGAAATCTTCTGAATTTTTATCTTTAGAATTGGCAGGTATGATATACTATATTATTTAAATTATTTCGTACAGTATGAAAGGAAAGTTATTGATTGTAAAATGTGTTCGAAAGATCATGTAATCTAGCACTATTTACAAGAGAAACTAAAAAAGGGTAAACATTACATCGATCGAAAGAATGGTGTTAAAAAACACCAGCATTACTAGTAACTGCACCATAATTATTGCACTTTTAATTGCTTAATATTTAAAAAACAAATATTTTTGGAATTGGAAATTTTAGTTCTGCTGCCTTCCTACTGCTATTATACTTTCAAACACTACTAGTTTCATGTTTTTTCTTTAGTGCTGTCATGTATATTGGTTTTAGGTGATTATTCAGGTATGAATATGAAAGGTTATTCGATTTAGGTATATTTTTATGAAATATTTTGATCACATTTTAGCTACTTTACAATGTCTTTCATTTGCATTCATAGATATAGAAGTTAATGGTTATATTTTTTTACTGTGAAATGTGAACAAATTTATACTGACTTCAGGTAAAATATAATTATGTACTAGAGAAATGCTTCCAAATTTCATGACAGGGCAATTTTCAATGTTTTGATATTTAAATGAATAATGTGATATGTTTCAGAAAGAAAAGCTCTTTACCCACATATATATCTTTACTTTATTTTGTTTAATTGAGTTTTAGTTACTTAAACCTGAGTTTAGCTAGGGTTTCAGCGCCCAGGGACACTGAAGATTCGCGCCCCTACAGTTGCCAAGGATGGAAAACATTTTAATTTAAAATATCGTAACATCAGTTGGGCGCCCCTGGATTCTGCGCCTGGGGACAGATGCCCCTCTAGCTATGCCCACTTAAAATCTACTAAATGTTATAGATTTATATACCACTTTCATAATTACTTCACTTAAGGGAAAAAAATGATGAAAATCTAAATAATCGTAACTTAGAATTTGTTATTTAAAAACGTAGTGTTAAAGTACTGAAAATAATTAACGCTATTATAATTTGCATTTTAGTCTAAAGAGAAAAAAAATTGTATTATCTTCTGGTTTTCAGGAAATGATAAATATTTAAACTTAGATAAAAAGGAATACAAAATTTTAAAAGAGAAGAAAAAAGGATTAATTATTAAACGTATTTTTCTGTATAAATCAATAGTAACACAAGGACATAATAACGACATTTTACAACTGTTGCAAAATTTTGCGAACATTTAGGCGTCGGATACGATACTTTTGCGACAAAAATCACCTGCGAAAGACGCAAAACATGTCTAGCGACAAAAACCTCATCTGCAAAGATGTAATAAAGACGTCTTTGCACGGTTGCAAAACGGTGGAGTTTCGCGGACATCGGGCTCTAAAAATGACATATGCAACATTTTTGCATGACATCCCGACGAGTTGCAACCCTTACGAGGTGCCATGCTACTTGGGTAACGTATATTTTGAACCATACTCAAAAATGCTTCGAGTCACATAGATGCAATAAAATGCATAATGAATAAGCTGGCTGTCGCTGACTATTTAAATATTAATTTTTATTTTGATTAACATATGCAGCCACAAATAACTTAGCATGCTAATTGTGCCTGTTCCAGAATTGTTACACTTTTCATTCTTCTTGTCGTATGGACAAAGGCCTATGGAACAATGTTTTTGTGGGACCCAGTATTTACAAGGGAAAAGTGACTGTTCACTCTTCATCTTGTCGGATAGTAAGCTTTACCATATTTGGCATACTCTCGGATGTGAACAGTCACTTTTCCCTTGTAAATAC